ATAATTAATTTTAGACAAACTTATAATATAAGAAATAGTTATTTTAAAATAAAGAAAATATTAAATTAAAAAATGAAAACACAAGATGTGACAAAAGAAAATTACTATTGCATCCCAAATAAAACAGTGCGTTTCATTTTGTCCCGTCAATTTCCCCAATCTTCTTGCCATAAACTCAACCTATGTTGAACACACTCTCTTCTTCCTCTCCCAATCAAAGCACAGGCATGCCAAAATCCTTCTCCTCCTCTCTCAATGGATAAGCAAGGGCTCTCTCTAATTCTTCCTCTATGTCATTCCATCATGTTAACAAATGCAAAGAAAAAAAATTCCACTAACTTAAAATGACACAAAATTAGTTATGAAATCGAATCATCATTCATCCATCTTTGAGAAAGGCAAAGAGAGGAAAGAAAAGAAAAAAAAATTAGAATTATACCCAGACGAACACAGAGGGGATCCCAACAAACATAGAAGAGAGAAAAACATAATGGAACTTTACCCATTTGGAAAAGCATCAAATTCGACAACAACCAAGTATGGAATGGAATATTATGCACTTGCTTTAGCGTAACAAAAGATTTAAAACAATTATGAAGAAATTACAGACAAACTCATTTTATTTTTGAAAATAGGAGACAAATTGGGGAGACAAATTGAGAAAAGTTGGATTTAATTTTGTAATTTTTTATTTAAAAATTAATTAAGTAACAAATAAAACGTGATAAATAGTAATTTTAAATAAGATAAATAAAATTTATATTTTTAAATGAACAAAAATAAAAATTTACATTTGATTTAAAAATTTTAAAAGATATCATCTTTAAATTATTTTTTTTTTAAAAAAGACAAAATTAGTAGCTTTTTCTCCCCAAATCTAGTGGCGCCTGCCGAAGCTTCCAATCTCAAGTTCGCCCCGCATTACGACCCGCCGGCGATCAGCCCGATATCCTTTCGTGAGTAGCCGGTTCTTCTATGTCTTTCTCAGGTTCCTTTACATTGATCCAGTTGATTTCTTCTTAACTTTTCTAATCCGATGTTCTTTCGTTTGGCGATGTTATTGGTATTCTTAGGCTATTTTTGGCAAAAAAAAAAAAGAAAAAAAAAGAAAGAGAGAGAAAGCTATTGGTATTCTTAGGCTAGTTTGAAAGGGGCAGCATCTTGCCCAGAGTCTTTACGAAAACAGTATCTTTGGATTGATTCTTGTATCACAGATTGGGTTAGCTGGCTGAGAGATGATGCATTTCAGCATGAACTATTTATTTGTCTTAGATTATCGTTTTTTGTGGTTATATTATGTCTATGTGTTTACTGCTTATCCAATGCCATCTATACTGATAAATAAGTCGGCTCTGGAATTGGTTCAGGTACTAATTTGATTGTCCTAAGAGTAGAATTTGTTATTGATGGGACGAACCAAAAGAAGTAACCCTATGTACCTTCATGCACAGAGGGCAAAAGGTTTTCAGGGAAGGTGCAAGGTGCTAATTAGTTTGTTCTGGTGGCATCTATTTGAATTAGGTTGATGTGGTAATTCTTTTTTGACAAGAATTAATCAAAGTCTTTGTGGTTTTTGTTGTGTGTTTTACAATATTAGTCTACCAATTTCCTTCTAAGATTTTCTATTGGTGCCCAAGGGGTGGCAGCTCATTCATCACCATTGCGATCACTGCCAGTGCTTGTTTACCAACTGCATAATAAAGATATAGTGCTTCTGGCTTCTGCCTGAAATAAGATTTAAGAGTGAAATTTGGTTGTGCTGCTTCCATCATAATAGATACGATAAAAATTAACCATTTAGATATTTGTACCTATTTTATTTTTCTATTTTATTTTGCTCATTCTTGATATATATATATTTTACTAAAAGTGCATATTGGTGGTGCTTTTTTTTCCCTTTATTTCATTCTACCTTTTTTTTTCCTTTTCAGGGGCAAAGGATAGTACAGTCTCTCAGCAAGTCAAGGTTGAACCAAAAGGTTCCTCCCTTCCTTCTCTTCCAAAATACATAAACATCGCAAACTGCGGTAATATGTATTATCTACTTCTACAATCCAATTATCATTGTCTCGTTCATATGTTTTGGTTTGGATGTGCAGTGAAAGATGAGAAGGCACCAGCTCTTGAAGATGCTGAAGCTCTTGAGGTGGAAGAAAATAAGAAAAGCCACTTGAATGTTGTGTTCATTGGTCATGTTGGTAGGTTTTTCTCCCTATTGTTTAAATTAAAAATGGGGGGTTTTTCATTTTTATGTCTTTTATTATTGTCTGTTAACTGGAATGTTCAAAGGCCAAATAAAAGGGAGAAATGTGTTTCACATTGTTGTTTATTAGCTTTTTAGTTTGAGTTCAGAGATTGGTTGACTAGATGCCACATAGAAATAATTTAATGGTTTGGCATTTTCAAGATCCATTGTGGAGTTGACTGTGTTAATTATTTCCTAGAAGATATTGTATACATGCTTGAATGATTCAAGACTTTCAAAATTGTAAGTTAAAATTTTATGGTAGAAAAAAAAAACTTATGGTTTCCTGCTTCAATTTAATATCTATATACTTTTGAGAAGTTTCAAGCTTTCTTTCTTGGATATTATATGTTATTTTTATGAAAAGGTGTTTTTAGTTTGTTTAATGTTTCAACTTTTTCAATTTGGCAACTTTGTTTTATTTGGCATCATAAGGGACAATTGTTGATCAAAGTGAGGAATGTTGGCTCTTTTTAATCACACATGTTGATGGTCCTATCTCCCTAGACTTTTCATCCAAATGGTATGTTTTGGCTTTGTTTTGTAATTGGTTTTCAGATGCTGGGAAGTCAACAATTGGAGGACAGATACTCTTCCTTAGTGGTCAGGTTTCCAAAAATATGAGAAAGAAGCAAAAGACAAAAGTAGAGAAAGCTGGTGAGACTTTACATGATTTCTTTATTCTTTACATGGAAAATAGATGCTTTTCCTACGTTACTTATAAACTATTTGCCTAAGAGAGTGATAATGCAACACAAATCAATTTGAAAAATGGTTTCTTGTCCCATGTTACTTTACATTCTCATTCTTTATACACCATGTAACCATTCTAGGCAACATATTGTTTTTATTCTGTTTCTCGCTATTAAAAGGTTGTTTGTTTTGATATGCTTGTTTTGCATGCCAAGAGAATCATATATCCTATGAGGAACTTGATTTTAGAAGTTAGGCTAGGATTATGTTGGTTTATTCTGGTATTGCTAATATATGTTTTGTTATGTGAACTTAAAAGTATAAATTTCATCCCTGATGTGATCTATGTTGAAAATAATTGCTAGCATAGAACAATTTTGGGTAAAATCTTTTGTAAAGAATAATTTAGTGTGATATTGAATCAGTGATGACTAGACCCAAACCATTGATCAAATATTAAGACATTTTTGATATGCTAAGGATCAGATTGTTGGCTGTTGCTAAGAGTTAAGAAGCTATAAAAAGGGTTCTATTTCCAGCCTTAAACTGTAGTATTTCTTTTACAAGTTGTTGAAGAGAGTGGAGGGTTTTTTCTTTCTTTTAAAATTTTTAATTACATTTTGCTTTGGATGGTTTGACAGAGGTTGTGGTTGGGATTAAAAGTATGTTTTAAGTTTCATTGGTTGAAAACTTGAAATTGGGATCCTCTTGATTCAAATTCTTTAATTTGTGAATTTCTGGATTAGAACTGCTGTTTGGAGGGATTGCTTCCAAGTTTTGAAGTCATTTTTGAATTTGTCACAAGTTTTGAATGACTAATGGATTTCAAAGTGCCTAAAAAATTATGAATATATTCCCTTTATCCTATCAAATGCCAATATAAGTTGCTCTCAAAATTTTTGGGTTTGTTTCCTGTTAAAGTTTGTTTGATTCAGCATCACATCAAGCATTCTTGAGATTGTTAAATGTTTAATGTGCTAGACAATAGGAGTCTTGGCTCTTGCATTGTTTGACCATAATTGTTTTCTCAGTTAGGTGTACGGCATATATTATGGACTCTAATGAAGAGGAGAGAATTAAGGTACTATAAGATGTAGTAACCATGTTTACATTTTTGGATTCCATATTGTTGCTATTTTAAAGAAAAAAATGGTTGCAACTTTTTTTTTTCCTGATACATGCCATTGCTCTTTGTTATTTGCACAATCTCACACGATTGTAGGGACTGTGTAAGTTAGAAGAGCAGGCTTTGAGACTAGGTTTGCCATTTTGGATGCACCAGTAAGCAATTATTTTGAGGCTAAAAAACCATGATTTTGTATTTTTTATATGATTTCCTGTCTTCATTATTTAATTTTTGTTTGATAAGGTTATAAGTTTTATCTAGTTTATTGCTTTTGTACATCTGTATTTTGTGAATTATGATATGATTCTATGAGGTTGAAAAAGATGAGGGATAGATGGGAGGGATAGTTTCTAATTAAAGCTTTAATAAGCTGTACAATCTCAGGCTAGTGTAAAAGTGAACTATGTGATGGTTTCTAGTTCTATCAAATGAAACTCTCCTTCTTCATGCAAGCAGTGTTGCGAAACACAGTAGGCAGACTAGCACCCAGTGCATGGGAGCACCCAGGTGCAGCTAGATTCGTCTGGATGTTTTGCCTTTAAATTATTTTTTTTCAAATGTCAGAAAAGTCATCAAAAATGGGAGAAAATTCAGAAATTGAAACAAGTTGAAAATTTAAGGGCTACACAGCGCGTTTGCAACACTTAAAGGACTAAACTGCCAAAAATAACATCGAAACACAGCTAATCATTTAACTGGGCTTAATTCAATGATTAGTCTATTAACTATCATTCTATTTCATTTTAATCTAGGAAGTTAGTTTTCTTTCTAAATGGTCTATAAATTTTGTAAAATATTTTAGAATAGTTTACTGTACAGAACTTCCATTAATTTTAACAAAAAATAGAATAATTAAAACAAAGTAGTCCCAACTAGTAAAGCAGTTCACGACAGACTGTGCAAGCTATTAAAGCATGTCAATAATTGTGGTTTCTATTACAAGGAAGAATTGTCAAAAAGGAAAGTTGAAGTAGGATGTGATAAAGGTTACAGTCCATCAAACAGTAAAAAGGAACTTATTATTCTCACAAAGTTAGTTTTATTTCAAAATTAATCTTAAGGAGTAAAAATTCACAAAAGAAGTTAGAGATCAATTTGACCAAATGAAGTAAAATTATTGCTAGAAAGTTAACAGACTAGACTAAACTGAAATAAAAGTAAAAAATAGTAACTGGATCTAAAAGTATCTAAAAATAATGGGGGAAACAAAAAAATATATATAAAAGTTACTAAACTATTTATTAAATTAAGCCCAGTTCACTTGGCACTACCTTCTTCAACCTTTGGGAGTTGGATCGGGTCTGGTTTGCAGGTCAGATTCGGGCCACAGCGTGTGAGGTTCTGCCACCCTTCTGACTAAAACTCCAGTAGAGTAGCTCACCAGGGCCCTCTGAGAAAGTTTCCGATGTTGCATGTTGGATTATGGCACAATTTTGTTGCAGATCACTGTTCACCTGGGCAGTCCACCGGGTGAGGTGGTCTGGTGACCAGTGCCTCCTGGTCAACTAATCCCTACTTTTGCAATACTGCCTGCAAGCCATCCTCACTGCATTTGATTAGAGTTTTTGAGATGTGACAGCTTAGCTACTTATGATTCTAAATACTTATCAAGTTCGTGCATGCGAACAAGTTTGTAATCTAAATGACGGAGTTTTGTACAGTACTGACGTAGGGAAGTTGTGAATTTGTTTACAGAATAAGATTCTCAGCTCTTGTATTCTTTGGCCATAATTTGTTGTGTTTTGAATGTTTATGTCCCATCAATTTTGCTTCCATGTATGATTCAACTTTGAGTTTTGGGTTTTTTGTTCAGGGTCACAAGAGTTATGTCCCAAATATGATCAGTGGAGCAGCTTAATCAGATATTGGTGTTCTGGTGAGTTAGGCGCCACTTCACTGCATTTGTTTTGCGCAAGTCCCATTTTTTGAATTTTTAATTCATTCTCCTTCTCTGTCTTGTTCTCTATCTGACTGCCATAATTAGGTTATTTCTGCCCTTAAAGGGGAATTCGAAACTGGATATGAGGGGTGGGCAAACCTGTGAACATGTTCAGATTGCAAAAACTTTGGGCTTATCTAAGCTGTTCGTGGTTGTGAACAAAATGGATGATCCCACTGTTAACTGGTCCAAAGAAAGGTGCTGTTCCTGAATTTAGTTAAGTTTATGCTTATATATGCTGTTTTATTTCTGTGTTCCTATTCTCCCTCAGATATGATGAAATTGAATCTAAGATGGTACCATTTCTGAGGTCTTCAGGCTACAATGTGAAA